TTCCCTCCCTCACCCTCTCTAAAAATAATAAATAAAATGTTTAAAATAATATAGGTGTCTCTTCATTGATGAGTCATAAAGTTCTTTGTTGTGGAAGAATGAGTCTGATCGAAAGTATAATGTGCAACCATTTTCTTCAATTCTGTGGGTGGTCTTCTTATGCTGTGAATAGCTTCTCCTGCTGCCCAGAATTTTTCAATCAGGAGGACACCACATTTACTCATTTAGTTTCATCAGTTTTGCTTTGGAAGGGTGTGCCTTGATATGGAAGCAGCAGCCTCATCCATTTTCAGGTCTTATGTATGTCATCACTGCATTATCTAATTTGCTTGATTTAATATAACTTGTTTCACAGAAACCTGCTTTATGGTTTTAGATATGAGTTTATTACATGTCAAGGGTTTACAGGTTTAAATAGGAGAAAAGACTATTCTGTGGAGTACGATGTCCAGAGTCAGGCATCTGGAGTCAGGGACAGGCTTTGGACACCCGATCTGGTGTCTGGTGCGTGGCATGGTGCGTGGTTAGGATTAGGGGTTGGGGTTGCAGTGGATACCATGACTTGTCTTTAACTATTTGAAACCATCATGTTAGACTGCATCACGACAGGTGTACTATCAGTGTGTGATAAAAAAAAAAATCTCACTACAAGTGGTAAATGTATGGTCGGCCGTTTTCACAGAGAAGAAGCATGAGCATAAGCAACATTTTCTGCCCCTTTGGCTTAGTCTTTCCAAGAAAGGTACAAGGGCAACTGTAAGGCAAGAAAAGATCTGTGGTTTGTGTGGAGAAGATGCTGTGACTGACCGAATGTGTCAGAAGTTTATTGCAAAGTTTCATGCTGGAGACTTCTCCCACAGGTAGGCAGGCCAGGTGCAGTGGAGAGCCCTCAATGGCAGATGTTCACTGAGGACAGATCACATCGTGGCAGGTGGGAGACAGGCAACATGTTGAAAGTGTCCTACTCAGGCTTCGAAAATCATTTGCACCAGCTTGGTTACATGAATTGCTTTGCTGTTTGGGCTCCACAGGAGTTAGGTGGGATGGTGGGGGTCCTTCATGAGTGGATTTCCACAAGTGGTTCTCCACTGAAACATAGGGAAATGCTCAATTTCCATCAAGATTGTGTGTGTAGGGGGAGGATGAATCTTTGGTATTTGAGAGTAATGTGGAATCGGAGAGATTGTGGGCAAACAAAGGAACTGCCACTTGCTCATCCAAAGGGCAGTCTGCACCCAAAGGAGGTGATGATGCCCTTGTGGTGAATTCGGGAGGGAGTCCTGCAGTAGGAGCTGGTTTCGGAAAGCCAGGCGGTTACCGGCAACAGGTACTGCTCCCCATCAGACCGACTGAAAGCTCCACCTGAGGGAAAGAGTCCGGAATTTGTGAGCAAAAGATGCAGAGGGTTAGGATTAGGTGAGAGAGCACATATCTCTTTGGTGACCAGGGAAAACAGTTCCAGCCTGGCTGCACAGTCCTGATTCCTCCACAGTACTCAGAAGACCTTGCTCCTTCCCATGGCCATCTAGTTTGTCTCTCTGAATTCTTATTTATGGGGAAAAATTTCTGTTCTCTGGAAGACTGTATAAAACACCTGGAAGAGCTCTCTGCTTAGAAAGAGAACAATGTTGTGGGACGATGGAATGGTGAAATTGTGTGAAGGTGGCAGAGAGCAGTGGAAGAAAACGTTGGTGACATTGTTCAGTTCTTTTGTGGAAGGACAGTGAAAAGTGTGCCCGTCTTTGTAACTCAAGGTAAAAAGTGAACGAATCTTTCAGCCAGGCCCTTAGTAGGATATGCATTGCAATGTCGGTCTCTGCTGCCATCTCGTGGTCATTTTGGGGAATGACACCTTATTGCAGGTCCAAGGGAAAAGTGGGTATAGTGTATCATCTAGGAATGTGGAACCTAATGTTATTTAGATGTACATTTCATCACTTTGAAAAAAAAAGGACTTTTTAGTAACCGTTTGTTACTGATTTATAGGTTGACTGCAGTTAGTGTCAGCAATATGCTTTCCATAATTTCAATGTTTTGAAGTTTGTTGAAACTTGCTTTACAGTACAATATGACCACTGAAAAAGTGTTCCAAGTGTGCCTCTCTTCTGCCATCTGGCGTTCACGTTGGGAAAATACCTTGGTGCAGATCAGAAGGAAAGGTTGGGTGTAGTAGGTCATCCCTAAATGTTGAATCCAATTTTGCTGCTCATGTTGTTTATTTAAAAAAAAAAATTAAATTTGTTAGAGAAAGGGGAGGGAAGGGAGAAAGACAGAGAGAGAAACATCGATGTGTGTAAGAGATACATCAATCAGTTGCCTCTCACACACCCCAAATTGAGAATCTGGCCTGCAACCCAGCCATGTGCCTTGATTGGGAATCCAACTGTGACCGTATGGTTCACAAGCCTGTGTGCTCAGTCTACTGATCCACAACAGCCAGGGGTCATGTGAAGTTTTTCTTATATCTCTACAGGGTTTTTTTTGGGGGGCGGGGAGGTCAATAAGGCTGTAGGTTTGATCCCTGGTCAAGCCACATGCAAGACTCAAGCAGTGACTTGTGTGGCTCAGTGGGCTGGGCATCTATCTGCGTGCAAACCAAAAGGTCACCAGTTCCACTCCTAGTCAGAGCACTTACCTGGGTTTGAGGTAGGAGATGGTCAGGAGGAAACTCTGAAGGTGCTCCAGGGCCAAGAGAAAGGGCATCCATACAGGACAGAGACCCTGTTCTAAGACCAGTTGTTCCTGCTTTCTGGAAAAGCACTGAATCATGGCGAATCATAAGTACACCTGCACAGAAGATGCTACATGACCCCTGCTTCATTATAATAGCATTGTAATAAATCAGCCTTGTGGAACCCCCTTCCCTGGTGGTCAGTCAAGGAAGATCATGGGAGACCACATGTGTAGTAGCTTTAAAGTAACAGAACTACTTGTACATGGGCAATAAAACCCTGCTAAAACTAGCCAAGAAATATCTCCCTGTAAGTATAGAATCCCTCCAGCTCCTGAGATCAGTCTGTTTGGAGTCAGCCCGCTCCCATGTTCTGTGCAGTGTACTATCACTTAATACATCTGCTCTCCATCTGTCTGCTATAAACTCTGTGTTCTGTTCAATTCTTTGTTTGCGATCATCAAGAACCTGGTTACCTGTGCCCACCTGTGATGGGTTGTGGGCCAGGTCACCAGTTGGGAGCATACGAGAGGCAAAGGATAGATGTTCCAAATGAAAAATAAGTCAATAAATTTAAAAAAGTAAATAAAACACAATTTCTATGTGGATCTGTATATATTAATGAACCCTGTATTGTTTTCCATCAATCTGTCTATTCATGACACATTAATCCACTGTTGTACTTCCTGTAGCTTTGTAATACAACTTTTACTTGTTCCTTATTTTAACAGGTAAACTGAAACTGAGCTTGTTTTACTTCAAAAAATTTTGCTGAGCCCTGGCTAATGTGGCTCAGTCTGCTGGAGCATTGTCCTGTAAGGTAGGAAAGATAGCAAACTAAGGAAAGGAGGAGGGAGACATGTCTGACCCCCTGACTCAGCCGTCCTGAGCCGGATTTGATAATAGTGCCAGGTGTGCCAGGTGTTCAGAATATCACAAGAAACACATGGTAGCACAGGAGGAGGGAATTCTATGTATTGTTCCCACTGTCTAGAAAAGAAAGCCTTGGAATTAAACTGTGTGTTAATTCCAAGGTCTGGTTGGTAGGTGGGAGAGTGTCCACAGTGCCCAAAGAAGAAGCACACAAGGCAACTTTCGTTACTTGCCTACTTCTGGTCACTATCTGTTTCACAAGGGAGCACCTAATGTTTACAGAAAGCCCATAAATAATTTATAATTTTGGGTAACTGCCCAAGCTGCAACTGGCTCCTGTCACATATTTGTTTTACAAGCGGAACAAGTGGGGCCTGGGGTGAGATAAGGATTCAGGCTAACAGACCCCCACACATACCCACATTTGGGTAGTTACTTCCCCGATGGAAGCTGGCACCACCTTTACCCACTAGTTAATATGTCACTTCTTCACCCCAATCCTGCCAGCTACCTAATTCCTCAGGACCAAGGACCTGAGGCTCTTGTCACCCTTGCCCTTAACTATTGCCATCCTTACCTTGCCCTGCCCAGAATCTACACCTCTAACACCGACCTTGGCAAGGCCTGTTCTCTTCCATGAAAACCTATCACTAGTAAACCCTGCTTGCTCATGAATAGACTGGCTGATCTGTAATTCTTTACTGCATCAGCAAAGAGAACTGAGTTTCTCCCATAATAATTCCATAAACTGAAAGGTTGTAGTTCAAACTCTAGTCAGGACACAGGCCTAGGTTGTGGGTTTGGTGCCCAGTGGGGAGACAACCCTTTGATGTTTCTCTTTCACATCGATGTTTCTCTCTCTCCCTTCCCTTCTCTCTGAAATCAATAAGCATGTCCTCAGGTGAGGAATAAAAAGTTTTTTTCCTGATATTTTAAGCTAGATCATATTATATTTATAGGTAACCGTGGGAAATGGAGATCACTATGTATTTATCTGTCCAAGAACATGCTGTTACTTTCCTGCTGTTCAAGTGTCTTTTTGAAAAAAAGATTTTACTTACTTTAGACAGGGGATGAGAAGGGGAAAGAGAGAGAGAAAAAAACAAAAAACATCTATTAGTTGCATCTCACACGCCCCCAACTGGGGACTGAACCTTCAACTCAGGCACATGCCCGGATTGATAATCAAGCTGGTGAACTTTAGATCTGCGGCACGGAGATCATTCTTCCAGGTCATGGGGGTTGGTGTCCCCCTTTGGTGAACCCACTGCAGCAGGAATGGGGTGGGTCATGGGTAGGTCTCCCTCACACAGGAGGGTCTGATGGGGTCCTCACTGAATGTTTGACATCTCTGTGTATTGAACTCAGCTCCGGTTCTTAGAAAAGTGTGGCCTCTGGGAGCTGTTGGCACCCTTCCTTATGTTTATGCAGATGTAGATGTTTACCCTGTTCTCACCTTGAGTCTTGTTGGACTCCCACCCATTGGGTCCATGGGAATTTTGTGCTCCTGGGCCATTGTGAACATTATCTGGGAACGGGTGGCCAGGAATGACCAACATTGTGCATGTCTATTATCCCATCAGACTTCACAAACCAGTTCAAAGATACAATAAGTAATAATTTTGAGATGGTGTCAGCGGTGCATTAAACTCTCTGGGGCCCAGGTACAAGAGGGTGCATTACAGAACCTGCTGTTGCGGGCTTCATGAATGCCATGTGCAGATTGGGTGCACCTGTCACAGGAGAAACTCAGTTCCTGCCAACGCAGTAAGGGATCACAGGTCATCAAGTGTATTGCTGTACAAGCAGGGTTTAATAGTGACACATTCTCATGGGAGAGGACAGGTCTTGCTGAGGTGGGGGTGAAAGGTAAGAGCACCAGGCCCTTTGTCCTAAGGACTTATATAGTTGGTGGGTAAAAGTGGTGCCAGCTTCCAAGGGGATGGACTACCCAAACGTAGGTATGTGTGGGGGTTGTTAGCCTGAATCCTTATCTTGCTTCTGACCCCACTTGGTCATGTTGTAAAATAGATCCATGACAGGAGACAGTTTAAGTTGAGGCAGTTACCCAAAGCTAACAATTGGCTCTTTCTGTAAGCACTAGGGACCCTCTCATAAGACAGTGGACAGAGGTTAAGTAATTAACCAGATTTGTTTTATGGGTCTTTCCATGAGTGCTGTAGACCCCCTTCCATCTTCTAGGCCTTGGGATGAATACACTTTGAAAGCCTTTCTTTCCCAGATAGTGGAAACAATACCTAGAATTTCAATGTGTTAGCATGGTGTTTCCTGTGATGCTGGAACATCTGACAATGGAATTGGACCAGGCGCAGGACTGCTGAGTCAGTGGGTGACACCCATCTTCCTCGTCCTCCCTGCCTTGGCTCACCATCTACCCTAACACCCCAGTGCAGGCAGGTGCTGTTCCCAGTGTCAGTTCTCAGCAAGGGGTGGGTGAGGGTCTTGTTTCACAGCTCACTCTCAGCACCACCTGCCTGTGTTGAGGAGGCTCTGAGGATGCCCAGGCTCAGTGAGAGGGTGGTGATCAGGGGGAGGCACCTCCCCAAACTCAGGCTTCCTTCTCAGGGCAGTTCAGTGTGTGTGGGGAAAGCAGTGGGATGTACTCAAAATCTGAATTTAGTTAAAAACCCTTGTCCTAATCTTCCCTTTTCCACCACTAAAGACCAGGAAGACATGGGCACTGAAGGCTGTTCAGTAGGGCTTGCATTGTCAGCGATCCTCTTGCTAGAGTCTGTCTGTGCTGACTCAACTTTGAATGTCAAACCAAAGGGCTGGAGTTCCCATTTCCATTGCACAGACTAGGAAGCAGGCAGAGAGAAGTTGAGAATCTTGCCTTAGGTCACACAGCTGGAGGAGACAGAGCTGAGACTCACACCAAGTATGGACTGATGTGGAATCTGTATGCTGTGCACTAGGAAATACTGACCCTTAAAAGGGAGCAAGGAGAGTGAGGAAGACCAAGTGCCCAGACTAAGCAGCTCACTTCCATGCACAAGCATCCATCTCTCCCTGCCATTCATCTCTGAGAGTCCAGAGGTTGTAGGAAACCAGAAGAGCCAGAGAAGGCAAGGGAGAAGTACGGAGCTGATTAGGAGAAAAGGCCCTTTCCAGGAGTCTGGGGAATTACCTTCCCGGGTGAGTCTGTCTCAAATCCCTCTTTCAGGAGTAATGAAAGTAGACTGACTTCACATTTACACATTTGTCGGAGTCGAATTTCTGTGGCTGACAGTATGAGCTCTTTGTGGCTCTTTAGGAACCCTCTGCTTTCAGTGATGGGGAAAATGAGAGATGTGTATGGAGACAAAACATTTTAGAATAGGTCAAAAAACCATGAACCAGTTTGGTGCTGATATCCCCATATCACTATGGAATAACTGTTTGTCCATTTCACCTCTTGTAATGAAACTGGAAGGTTTATTTAACCAGTTACTTCTATACTAATTACAATCTTGGGGGAGGAATAGGCTGTGGACTTCCTATGGCTATTGATGTGACTTAATCTCATGACTCACTCACTCCACCTGCAAACATAGGGCTTCTTCTCCCCAGTGTCTCGTCTGGTGTCTGATGAGATTTGACTTCCATGCAAAGCCTCGCCCACACTCCCTGCAAACATAGGGCTTCTCCCCAGAGTGTGTCCTCTGGTGTGTGATGAGAATTGACTTGGATGTAAAGCCTCGCCCACACTCCCTGCAAACATAGGGCTTCACCCCAGAGTGTGTCCTCTGGTGTGTGATGAGAACTGACTTGCATGCAAAGCCTCGCCCACACTCCAAGCAAACATAGGGTTTCTCCCCAGAGTGTGTCCTCTGGTGTGTGATGAGATCTCTCTTGCATGTAAAGCCTCGCCCGCACTCCCTGCAAACATAGGGCTTCTCCCCCCTCCGGTTAGATCTGAAAGCCTCGCCCACACTCCCTGCAAACATAGGGCTTCTCCCCAGAGTGTGTCCTCTGGTGTATGATGAGACTTGTCTTGCATGTAAAGCCTCTCCTGCACTCCCTGCAAACATAGGGCTTCTCCCCAGAGTGTGTCCTCTGGTGTGTGATGAGACGTGACTTCCGTGTAAAGCCTCGCCTGCACTCCCTGCAAACATAGGGCTTCTCCCCAGAGTGTGTCCTCTGGTGTCTGATGAGATTTCTCTTGCATGTAAAGCCTCGCCCGCACTCCCTGCAAACATAGGGCTTCTCTCCAGAGTGTGTCACCTGATGTGTGATGAGATTTCTCTTGCATGTAAAGCCTCGCCCGCACTCCCTGCAAACATAGGGCTTCTCCCCAGAGAGTGTCCTCCGGTGTGTGATGAGACTTCTCTTGCGTGTAAAGCCTTGCCCGCACTCCCTGCAAACATAGGGTTTCTCCCCAGAGTGTGTCCTCTGGTGTGTGATGAGATTTGACTGGCATGTAAAGCCTCGCCCGCACTCCCTGCAAACATAGGGCTTCTCTCCAGAGTGTGTCCTCTGGTGTGTGATGAGATGTGACTTGCATGTAAAGCCTCGTCCACACTCCTTGCAAATATAGGGCTTCTCCCCAGAGTGTGTCCTCTGGTGTGTGATGAGATCTCTCTTGCATGTAAAGCCTCGCCCGCACTCCCTGCAAACATAGGGCTTCTCCCCAGAGTGTGTCCTCCGGTGTTTGATGAGAACTGACTTGCATGCAAAGCCTCGCCCACACTCCCTGCAAACATAGGGCTTCTCCCCAGAGTGTGTCCTCTGGTGTGTGATGAGACTTCTCTTGCATGTAAAGCCTCTGCTGCACTCCCTGCAAACATAGGGCTTCTCCCCAGAGTGTGTCCTCTGGTGTGAGATGAGATGTGACTTCCGTGTAAAGCCTCGCCTGCACTCCCTGCAAACATAGGGCTTCTCCCCAGAGTGTGTCCTCTGGTGTCTGGTGAGATATGACTTGTATGCAAAGCCTCTCCCGCACTCCCTGCAAACATAGGGCTTCTCCCCAGACTGTGTCACCTGATGTGTGATGAGATGTGATCCATCATCAATGCCCTGCCAACACCCTCCATGCTCGATTGTTACAATCTTTGACATTCCTCCTTTCACAAAGAACTTGCCTGTGTCCTCTGGATTCTCTTTCTGGCCTCTCCGGGGCTCTTCTTCCATCAGTCTCTCGTGCTCACTAGAGCTCATTTGTTCTTTGGATGGTTGGAAAAAGGGTTTTGAGATTCTCCTTTGACTGATCTTTGTAAGCAAATGTTTGGACCTTTCTTTGACCTCTTGACCTTCAGCTTTATCATTCCAGCTGTGCATACTAGTATGTTGCTGCTGCTGATTCTGATCCTCTGGACTGGGTTCCTCTGCTTGGAGCTGTTTTCTTGAAGATCTTCCTTGGAGAATCTCAGAGGGATGATTGAGTTTCACATGTCGGCTGAGGAATTTCTGACTGGAGAAGGCCAGAGAGCAGGAGGGACATGGGTGCACCTCTGGCTTTGGTTCTGCTGAAAGAGAATGGTTTGGTCAGGGCAGATGTTGACAATGCCTGGGCTGTATGATTAGTCTCCTGGTAAGACCTGCCCCGTGAGTCCTTCTTACTGTGGTGATAACGCAACGTCTGTCTCCCAGTGTCCACTCGCCGTCTATTTTCCTGTTTACTTTTATGCAGTGCATCTTCTTCAGAAATCAAGAAAGCCCACATCAAGGGTCTTTTCTAATATTGCCCAGACTAGAGACTTTTGGAGCATGAGGACAATTTACTCCCTTTGTGGATCAAACTGCAGTGCCATTTCTCATCTACAGGTACCTTCCAAGTCTCGTTAAAGAGGAAAACCACAGGCTCCAACTAGGAATCGCTTCTCTCAGTTTTCCAAAATAGTAAGATGAAATGTCCTTCCTCAAGCCTCACACCAAATATTTATTTATGCTTTATCTCATTTAGTGTTAGACTATTTCAAATACACTAAGAAGACGTGTTTCAAAATATTTCAACCACATTTCTTACACACCTGACTCTTGTTTCTCTCTGGCCAATCCACCACGCTCTCTTACTTGGAGATGAAGAATCCCCCACTGGTGTTTATTTTCTAAAAATCAACAAAACATAATCAGAATAGAGAACACACCACTCCATAGCTGACAACTGCACACTTTCACTCAGGAAAGTCCCCAGTGTCTCAACTCGGGTCATCGGCACTGCATCTCTGGGCTGCTAAGCATCCGTCTGATCTTTGTTTTTACCCTCTGTGCCGAGGCGAGACCTGAGTGATCCTCAGCCAATTCAATGCCCCATCTCTTTTCTTCCCTGGACTAGCTGCTCCCTCTGCCCACAGGTATTTTTGTAAATGCTGTCTCCTGAGAGAGCCCTTCCTGGACCACCTGCCACACGCCTCCCCTCACATTGATCCCCAGGCACTTGTCCAAGATTACTTTTCTCCAAACCACTAATTGCTGTGTCGTGTTATGCATACATAAGCATGTGTGCCTGGGTTTCCCTCCTTCACCCATCAGCTCCTCAAGAGCAGTGATTCTGATCCTCACATCAACCTGTATATCCAGGTTCCAGGACACCATGCACCAGAGTAGGATCTCTCATAATTCACTGAAATGATGAACGAATGCGCCCTGCCTGAATGGTGTGGCTTGGTGGGTTGGGTGCTGTCTGAAAACTGGAAGGTTACAAGTTCAATCCACTCAGGGCACATGCCAGGGTTGTGGGCCAGTTGGGGGTGTGCCAGAGACAACCGGTTAATGTTTCCCTTGCACACTGATTTTTCTTTCTCCCTCCTTTCCACTCTGTAAAAATAAATAAAATCTCATTAGAAAATTTTTATTTATATATTCATTTATTTTCAGAAAAGGGGTAAGGGAGGGAGGGAGAGGGAGAAACATCAATGTGTGGTTGCCTCTCACATGCCCCGTACTGGGGACCTGGCCCAAAGCCCAGGAATATGCCCCAACTGGGAATCAAACTGGTGACCCTTTAGTTCAAAGGCCAGTGCTCCATCCTCTGAGCCACACCAGCCAGGACAAAATCTTTAAAAAATAATGAATGCCTCCAAACAAAAATGTTTTATTTAGAAGTATGGAGGAAAATTAAGAAGAAACAACTATAAAAGTGTCAGAAAAACTGCCTTGGTGGGAGAACTGGTTAGTGTTTGTAAACTTCTCTTTTTTGCCTCTCAGTCTTTCAGCACTACATGCAGTTGTGTATTTTGTGTACAAAATATTAAAAAAATAAAAATTATAAAAATTTGCCTTAAGAGTCAAAGGCATATGAATTTTGGAAGCATGTGATTTGAAACTTTACTGACTTTAGATTTTACTGTACTTAAGAGTTGGATCATAAATGTTTCTATGGAGAATTCTCTCTTTTCTTTGTTTTGAAGAACAGTGGTGCCCACCTCTTCCTGCCATGAGCTCTCTCTTCCACTTGCTGCCCCACTTGCTGCCCAGCTCCTGGCCATACTCGTCCCCACACCAGACCAGCAGCTCACAGCCCGGCCTAATGACCCGGCAGGTTCGGTAGAAAATCTGCCCGTGGTACTGAAAGGCCACCAGGTTCTGCTCTTCATCATCCCGGGCACAGTTCACAAACCTGGGATTGAGGCAGAGGAAGGGAAAGAAAAGCACAGTGATGAGTTCCCACTACCTGTTACATCCATGTCCAGCTCCTCACTGATTCTGAAGGCCCTCAGGCTCTGGTGTCGCCCACTGCCCCTAATGCTTCCGGGGAATCTTTGTTCAGTGTCTGAGCGTCTGCCAGCATGTCATGTGAATTCTTACGTCCAAGTCCTGCTTGCAGTGTTCATCCTGCCTATTACTACTTTCTAACACCCAGTTCTAGACTTAACCCCCACCATGACTGGCCATAATATCCAATGATACTAGATTCTCCAAACTCTAAATCAAGCTGTCTCACACCACAGAACCTGGTGCTTGATCTAGGGCTCTGCTTCTGAACTAGCTCATTAATTATCCAGTACTCAACCCATGTCTGTTTTCTCTTGAGAGGCCTTTCTCTAACCCTCCTACACTTTATTTAGGGCACCATTCACTTGCCTGCTCAAGATGACCACAGAAAATTGGAGGTCTTTTTGTCTACCTGGGTTGTATGATCTGTTTAAGTAATGTATTCCTTCACCTAAACTGGAATATACTAAGTGCTTAATTAATGTTCATTTGATAAATTAAAGTGTAATCCAGTGTCCCTGGTGAATCTAGGCTCTTCAAGGACCTTTCCAGAGCCCAAGTTGTGTCTAGTAGAGAGCTTTATATTTTGAGGACATATGCTATACTTTCTTCCTAAAAGTCCCCTAAAATGAAAGAACACTGTGTGGAAAAAAAGAGGGAAAAAGAATGGAGGGAAACCACTGAGGGAGGCATGATGAGAGGGATGAATATAGGGGCTCATGGGGGATGAGAGTCCCCTCTGACACCCAGAGACCTGTTGACCTCACCTCATCCAGTTGGCCCAGGATCTGTCCTTTCCATCCACATACTCGTAGCAGTTTCTCCCTTTGGTGATCTGTGTTTCACAAAAGAAGGTAAAGACCTTTTATTTTTTTGGTGGGAAGGTAATAGAATTATTTTACTCCACAGTCATCAAAGCTCATTCAGCCTGCATGGGGATTCAACTGCCAGCTATGACCACATGATATTTTTCTTACTCATCACCTACACAGCCGAGTCTACCTGTCCAATCAGAGCAGGAGCCCCACAAGGGAGAAGCCACTCCTTGGTGTCTGCACCACTTTGCTCCCACTTACTTTCTGATCCTTCAACAGGAGCTCTGTGTTCATGTGAAGTCCAGGCAGTACACAGCTAAACACATCGTCCCCTCCATGTCTAGTATGTAGGAGGTGAGGTCCCTCCAAGCTTCAGAAGGAATGTGGGAAGCCAGAGGACAGTGGAAGAGGCAAATAGTTCTCACCAGCCAGGAGTATCTGCTCTTGGCTGCCTCTTCATCTTCTGTGATGTGTCCTGCATAAGGGCCAAAGTGCAGACCCACTGGCAAATCAGCTGCCTCATTCCACACTCCAAGCCCAGCCTCAGGGATGCCCGATGGCCCGATTCGCAACCCAGAGGGCAGGGTGAGGGCTGAGTGGTGGGGATGCCCCTTGTCCACTGCACTGTCCTTTACAAATGTAGGGGGCCCATGCACAGCACAGCTGTCGATGAAGAAGTTCTGACACTTCTCACAATCTGGAGGCGAGAGCAACAGGGGTTAGGGAACGTAGAGCACATGTTCCTGGACACAAAGAGATTCAGAGGGAGTCCAGAACTAACATCAGTGAGACTCAGTCCTGTACTCCAGGTCACTGGATGAAGGACTAAATGAAATTATTGTATCATAACTTGCTTCTTAGTGAGGGTCACTTACAAAGGTAGTCATCATCCTGGGGCTCAGTGACCTCTTGGTACACACAGTCCTTTCTTTCTTGTAGGCTGTACATCTCTACGTCCATCTCCTTTCTCCTGAGTTCTGAGTTGGAGAAGAGCAGGTGAGCGAGGTTGGTGGGATCTATAGTGTTAGTTCCCATTTTGTCAGATTAACACACAATCTCCTCCCATCAATTTATGACCTGTCCTTTACATACTCTGGTATGTTACCGTTAACTATTGGTTCAGAAGATTAAGACTCCACACTAACTACAATGAGTGATTCAATTCTAGTTTCTAGATCTTCCCATCACCAGGTTTAACTTGCCAACCTTTAATCATTGATAAAATATTTAAGTGCACATTATGTGTTAGGCATTGAGTAAAGGCCTGGGCACACAACACCAAGAAAGTGTGGTTGCTATTATCACAGATGGATTTTTTGGACAGCTTGCATGTGTCACCTGTTTTAAACTCAATTTAATGTTTTCAAACAATAGATGAGTGATGTTTCCTTATCTTCACTTTACACATTAGCCTGCAGGGGCTCAGAGAATTTATAGGATTTGCCCAAAGGTCCAGTGATAACTTCAGTCTCAGCTTAGCCCAGCTTAAATCCAGGCCTACCAAAGTCTGTCCCACATACCTAGGTCATACTTATCAGCCCTTCTGTAGGACTTAGAGGAACTAAAGTTTCCAAATTATTTTCTTACCCGATTTTTGTCTAGTGTGCTTTCCAAAGGCACGTGTTTCTCCAGGAGGGGACACTGGTTTCTGGGCCTGCTCTGAGTCACTTGCAGTCATCAAATTCGCTGTTCCTGACAATTCCTTCAAACTATATTCATTGCTTAATGGCACCCCGGATGTTGCCTTCAATATAAGAGTCATATATTAAAAGATAACATGTGTTTAATTTTTTAAGGCCTATCATATAATTTACATGCATGTCTTTAATACTTGAACCCTTGGAAATACCTCAGGAGTATGAATATTAGAGGGTATAGGGCCAATGTGGGTATTGAATCCAAGATTAGAACCCATGCCTTATGGCTTTTCTTTCAACTGTCTCTATAAAATTGAGAGTGAAGGATATTGGGAAGAGAATACATAGTTGGCAGAAACATGTCTAGACAATAGCTAAAGTGATAAATGTTTGCAATACCTTGGAAAGAATATTTGTACTTAGATGAGCTGGTTCCCACCAATTGTTTGAATAAGGCTGTAGCAGTAGCTAGCTGTCTTCAGTGTCCACACCTATAACGTGCTCATTTTTAATGTTATAGTGGATATGTACTTAAATAATGTTCAACAAAGTCTTCTGTGAATTATGTAATACAGCATGAATGTGCTATCAATTTACCCCTCATCTCTCTCCATATTTCAATCCCACAGAAATTACCTTCAGCGTTCATTGATTGTGTGTTGTAATTTATTTTGTAATTGTGAAATCATTCATTCACCAAACATTCGGAGGCCCTCAGGGGCCCTGAACTGAGCCTGTGACCTCTGAGAAGTCTCAGGTATGGACCAGGCCCTCAAAGAGCTCACAACACAGAGTAGGCAGGCTGAACAAATGATTCTAAACAGGATGAGAGTGGCCTCATGAGAACTCAAAGCTGTTACTTCACCCTGTAAGGGGATTTGAAATCAGCCCCAGACGCATGAGTTTCTGTTGAACAGTGTGTAACCTATATGAAATCCTTAAGTCATTGTATTATTTGTTATTCCTCAATCATGAAACCTGAAGCTCCTCAGGGGTGGGAGATGCCCTTTATTAGAGTGGGAGGCAGTGATCCTGGACACTTTACATTCTTCTTCATCTGGGACCATCCAGTGTACAAACTGCCTACACATTGTACGCTTTCCTTAGTCAGAGGGTCTTAGTGCATTTCTCATTTCAGCATAGCAGAGAACTTTGGTTGAAACAGTCAGATGAATGATGTAATGACATATGGACAAGACAATGTCAACTTTAGAAAACTATGAAAGGTTATTTTTCTAATTTTTAAAAAAGATTTTGTTTTCTTGGGAGACAGGAAGGGAGCGAGAAAGGGAGAGAAACATTGATCACTTGCCTCTCGCAAGTACCCCAACTGGGAACCTGTCCCACAAGCCAGGTATGGGCCCTGACCAGGAATCACACTGGGGCTCTTTTGCTTTGCAGGAAGACACCCAGCTGAGTCATGCTGGCTAGGGTAAAACTATGAACGTTTCAATGAGTTCATAAGTGATTTAGAGAAGCCACTATGGATTAGATTGCACTACCACTGATACTGTGATCTTAGACATATAGTCAAACATTTCTGTATCTCTAAAAGTTGACTTCCCTCCTCATGAATGGTGAGTTATAGTACATACCTCATCGGGTTGTTGTAATGTTTAAGTGAGTTTATTCACATAGAATTCTTAAAGTCTGAAACATGAGAATGAAACAAATGGTAGTTACTATTGTTGCTGTAGTTAACTATTAAGATGATGATGAGCCCTGGCTGGTGTGACTCAGTGCACTGAGCGCTGGCCTGCAGAGTGAAAGGTCACCAGTTCCATTCCTGGTCAGGGCACATGCCTGGGTTGGGGACCAGGTCTCCCACTTGGGGCAGTGTGAGAGGCAACCTATACAGGTGTGTCTCGCAGATGCTTCTCTCCCTTACTTTCTCCCTCTCCCTCTCTCTAAAAAAAACCAATAAAATGTTTTTAAAAAGATGATAATGGTGGACAATGCGTTGAGAAGACCAGGAAAGGATGGCAGCAGTTCCTAGGATACTCTCTGCATTTCCCTACTCTTACCTGCATTTTTATCCATGAGGAAAATTTTCTTGTCAACAGAATCTGGGAAATACTCACATTCTGGTGTTTAGTCTGTTCCCTTCTGAAGGCCACCCAAGAAGATTTCACTGAAAGATGATGAGAAATCAGTGTTTTGGTTGGTAACTGTTTCTAAAATCTGGAGATTCTTTTTAGGGACACAGAATTGTAAATGCGAATAGTGCAAGAACAATCCAAGGATGGCTGGAAAATGTTTTCTGAGGTATCATTAAGGCCTATGCTTCTATTGGGGCCACCCACTAATTTCATTAGAATGATAAAAAAATAGACAAAGTTTCTTCTACACTTCCTCCTATGTTCATAAAGCATCTATTACATTTATTAAAAAATAAACTGGCCTCTCCTGACAAAAACGTAATAAAAGTAACTGCACAGAAACTCCATGTCTTCAACATAACCCTTTCTCTGCTCTGTTGTCTTCATTCAAACTGGCCTTGTCCAGGCTAACGGCACTACCAACCCCTCGCCTCCTTTCTCTGGTATCTTCCCCCCTGTGCACATACTGGCCATCCACGCCCTTCCTTATCATTAGACTCTGGTCAGCATCCACAGTGTGCTGATCACAGAAACAGAATTCCAGTCAAGTTAAAGATCACATCTTGACTTCAGCTGTGTTTCAAGCGAAGACCCATGAAAGTGGACTGACCCCACCAATCAAACACTCATGATACAGGACAGGATGGCACTATAGCTGAGATCAGGAAATGATACAGCGATCAGCCACTTCTGACCCTGGCCCTCCCCGCAGCTCCATAATCACCATGTTAATACTGTTCCCATGCAGGCCATGTGGCAGCCAGGTATGGGCACACTCCTCACCGGCCAGACCTGCCTCTCTCTCGCGATGACAACTCTTCTGAATTAGTTATTTCTTATTCACTTGTATATTCCTACACATTTACTGGTCATTAATGTGTCTATAAATATATAAGACACACTTGAAAGACACACTTGAAAATATAAATATATTTTGCACACTTGAAAGTTTACAGGAATAGCCCCTCACTGTGCCACACACTGTTCTGCATCCTGCGTGTTTGCTGGACAAGCAAACCCTGGTCCCTGGTTATGTCCTGAGATGCAGCCTGACCTAAACCAGGTTCGTGTCAGGAAGGCAGCTCAGGCTCCTCCTGCCCCTCACCTTGCTGCCTTGGAGCCCATTTTTCATCCAGGTCCTCAGGGTCCTCCTCCTGGAGCTCGGTGGCCTGCCTGGGGTGGTGACACAGGAAAGCTGGTCACAGGAGAGAGACTTGGAGAGAGACAAAACCTTTGTCCTGAAAGCAAAGAGCCTGGAGGAGCAAAACACCAGGAAGCCCGTGGGACTGGCTCGGTTGGGATGGGAGAGTAAAACGAGTTGCTGTGAGCGCTGCACCATCATCGCCAGCCCTGCTGTGACAGAAGGAGCAAATTCCCCCATTTGTGTCCACGCAGGAGGGAGCTGCAGGCGATGGAGCCTCCCGAGCTGGAGTCCAGTCCGGCAGCCTAGCGGGTTCCCCAGGCCCCTGGGCCTAGCGCCTGCGCACTACCGAGGCTGGGGAGAGGGTGGAAGTTCCTCTTCTCGTTTTGGTACCCGCCTCTCTCCCCGTTAGCAGGGCGCCCAGAGATGGGGACCAAGGGCCTGGACTGGCCGAGCCGCCGGGGCGGGGCCTTTGTTCCCGCCCTTCCCTCCAGGCGCCGCCACTGCACAGACTCCACAGGCCCCCGGGACTGTTGCGGCGCAGGAAACGCGCTTTTCCCAGGGAAGGGCTCGGGATGCACCCGGGGGTCGGGAGAAGCCCGCACGAGACGCAGGCGCGTCCCTGGCAGACCGCCGTCTCTCAGGCTGACAGGCTCGGGGTCCCTGAGACCCGATCCTGCGTCTTCCGGGCTGAGGACACTGAGGTCTGGGGGGCGGGTCAGACCCTGCGGCTGAGGAGATTTGGGGCGTCTCATCGAGGGGCTTCAGGGTCCCCACCACTGAGTTGGTTTCCAGGACGACGGCGTTTAGCATCTCTGAGTTTGGGGAGATTCGGTCTTTCCGGGCGAGCTGCAGGTCGGGTGGCCCGAGCCGAGGGGAACTGGGGTTTTCGGGCTGTTTGGGGGTCCAGGCGTTGGGGGTCAGGAGATGTGGGTCCTCCGGGTTGGCGGACGCGGGCCCCTCGATGCTGAAGGGATTGGGGACCCTCAGGATGAGGGCATCTGGGGTCTCGGGCTAAGGGCTCCACGTGGCAGGGCTCCCCGCTTACCGGTCAGTCTCCCGGGGATCCTGCCGCACAGCCCACCTCGGACCAGCGTCCTATCCGAGCTGCTGGGCTGCGAGTGCCTGGGGCGAGATTCTTACCAGGGTAGCCTGTGGGAGCAACCCGCCAATCAGTGCTGCGATCCCGGGGCCCTGCCCACCAATGAGCGGTCA